ATCCCCCTTAAAAAACCCCCCCCCAATTCCCCCCAAAAAAAAAAAAAAAAAAAAAAAAAAAAATATTCACATAAACTTTCAGCAATGACATTAGAGCATGCAACTTAAATTTTTGAAGGTGAAGGAAAATATTTCACGATTAAATTTAACAGACGTCTATCAAGATCAGGGGAGAACAAATTTACTTGAGAAAGATTTCAATACCCAAGTACAACATGAACATCTCATTGCAGATTTCAAAAAAAAATCCTCGCATTGAACGGTGAGTCCAATTCATTAAATATGAACATGTTTACGGAATGTGAAATTATTTATCGCATACCAATAATCATAAAATGAGTGGAGATTTTGAGCTAATCAAAAGCCTCTTAGAATAGGTATCATGAATAATAAAATCGATTAGCAACGTTGGAGGAATAAAAGAAGCAAGCTAAATCATTAAAACCTGTTTTGAGATGCGTAGAAATGGCCGTTTGTTCACGATGGAGAAACAATCCTCGGAATCCTGCAGCTTGGACGATCAAAAGAGGAAGAAGTAGGCAGCTGGGGTTTTGATCGAGCAAAAGGACCGAACGGAAGGCAGGGGTCTTCGGCACAATGAAGAGGAGACCGGCCGAGCGGGGAAGGTGAAACAATTGAAGGTCTCGGTGCAGTTCCTCGGCGCAGAGAAGGAGTCGCACCAGCAGGCGCGGGTGCGGGAGACGAGCAGGAGCGACGAACAGGGATGAGCAGGCGGCTGCGGGAGACGGAATCGGAGCAGAGCGGAGGAAGGGGGTGAGCGGCTTCGTCAATGCGGGAGACGGGACCGAGCAGCAACGTCTGGAGACTCGAATGGAAGAGTTTCGGGTGCAGGAGGAAGCGTTCGATCGAGCCTGCCGAGGGTTTTAGGTCGAAGTGCAGCGGCGAGCAAGAGGATGAAAGAGGCGCAGGATCGAGCGAGGAGCGCAGGATCGGGAGCTTGGCAGCGAAGGGAGAGGCGAAGCAGGTAGTCTTTCGGTGCAGGAGGCAGAGAGGGGAAGAAAGCTCGGGATCGAACCAGGAAGAAAAGCTCGGGGGGAACGAGGGGATCAAGCTTCGGACAGGAAGAAGACGCTCCCTTCCTTTTAGAAAGCTTCGATTGTTGAGGGAGTCGACTTCGACGCAGGGAAGAGGCGAGTGCAGGAATCGGGATCGAGGGAGTCGGAGGCAGGGAGGAGGGATCGAGCAGAGAGCGAGCGGAAGAGAGGGGTTCAGGATCCAGCAGAAAACGAGTGCGGGATCGAGAAGGAAGCGTGCTGTGCTGGAGATCGAGATCGAGAGTTCTCCTCGCGAGAGCGCTCCGCCGGAGAAAGAAATAGGTCGCGGGCTCAATAGCCGTTACCCGAGAGCTTTGGCGGGGAAATTAATAATTTCCAAATGCAGGGGAGGATTTAATTAGAAAATAATAACACCTGCATTAATTTTGATTAAGACAAAAATTAAATAATTCACCTGAATTTTGAAATTTGAATTTCAAATTCAGGTGAGCTGGTGCCTAGCCCGTGCTCAGCCTGAATCGAACCCGGGTCAAACCTGGGTTGAGTCCGGGCCCGCACCTAAAAAAGCATCGATTTCCGTGCGGTTCGCGCGAGTGTGGAACCACAGCAATATGGGTGTCATTTCTAGCTAAAATCGACGTTCCGGACGCGTCGGCGC